TTTTGATCTTTTCTCCAGGCAATGCCGGCGCAGTGGGTAACGAACATGCAGACAGGCTGGCTCAGTCTGCCCCACTGGGTGGTGAATTGATACATAAAAAGGCAGACGTGGTCAAGGCCCTTTGGGAACAAGCAACGGAATCAGTAGAGAAAGAAGATTATTATGGCCTGGAGAGAATGATACACCTGGGTAAAACCAGAGGGTCTGGTCGGCTCACTACACTCAAAGGAAAGACAAGACGGGCATATAACCAGATTGTGACCGGTACCATCTGCACTGGAACTCTCCGCTGGCTGCTGAGGATGAGGACGGAGCATGTATGGAAATACCCCGAGTGCTGTGATGTCAATTCTTGACTTAACTCAAATCAACTCAACTCAGCTCAACTCAACTCAACTCAACTGGGAGGAACGGTTAAGAACGCTGGGCTTTCATGCGGAAGACGTATATTTAAATCATCAATAAGACTGTGGATTTTGTTTAGGTCAGAGACAACACTGAAATCCCAGTCTGCACAATCGTCGCCACGTCACTAGCCATGCGGCCGTCAATCCTCAGGTTCAAAAACCCTCCACCTTCCCCATGCTTACACTACACAGGGGGTAAATACAGTCAGTGATGACAGTTATAAAGAAATCAGCGCTCGTTGGGTAATGTGGTCGACTGGTCGTCATTACTTATCAGAATATTCCCTGATATACATATTTTAAAATACATCCTTTCCGAGGCAACTTACGGATGTTTGCCATCGACTCAACCATTAGTGAGGGGCGGGATGGGAGGGGGAGGGGGAGGGGAGGAGAGGGGGGAGTTTGCTTTTTAACGGAAATGCTTCAGAAACATTCTTAGAATGCCATTGACCAAGAAGAAGAAAAACCACGACATCCCATAAGATCTAACCAAAGGGTAGAATTGGCTCATAAACAGCATTCTATCCCGAAGAGGTATTTGATCCATATTAATCGTCATGGTGGCCTGGAGAGAACTGTGATGCAGGGTTGTTTCTCGAAAAAGAGACAGAGGCAGACCTCCGCGAAAGTGGATACAAGACATTAAAGATGCACTGTCCCATGAAATCACACAGGGCAGGGGAGTTGACTAGAGATACTGTCAGGCGTGCGTTGGCCAGAGCGACGTTATGTAAAGGACTTCCTGACTGATGATGATCCGTTTAAAGCCGAGTCGACCTGCAAGACACAGCGGGATAAAACTAACGGACCGCCATGATACACACTAGCTCACTTCTGATTGTTAGTTTCTGAACCTGTCACCTTGGCACAAGGTTATGGGGGTATTCCGCAAAGCCATAGATATCGCTTGTTGTGTATATCTGCACGCCAGCGCTTTTAACACGACAAAAACATGGACAAACTGGGTCTAATACACAACCCCGCACAGTTGAATGGTGAATGTTGAATTAAGAATTGACATCACAGCACTCGGGACACTCCCATAAGCGCTCCGTCCCCATATTCAGCAGCAAGCGAGGAGTTAAAATTCCGATGGTACCAGTAACAGTCTGATTGTATATCCGTCTCGCCCCTCCCCTGAGTGTCGAATGTCGGTCAGATCCCCTTGTAACTCCTCGCAGCGCCATTCTCCTCAGACCGTAATGATCTGTCTCAGCACTGTTCACTCGCTCCCACAGGGCCCTTACAACATCTAGCTTGTCCCTGCACAGAGAATGCTGCAACCTTTGTCACAAGCATTCTCTTTCTCGGAATAAAAAACATAAATGCAAGACAACCCAGAAAGCAAACAACAGAGCGGCACACCCGTAATCGCACGAAAGTACGCCAGCCCAAGAAATTTGTGAAAGAAACGTGACCTTCTTTGTTTGGGAGGACTATCTTAAACCTAAGTGGATTTTGAAAAAAAAAATATTTCTCGACTTGCATTTAGAGCCAAAGACTTCAGGACTGTCTACTTCTTGTTTACTTACCTTCAACTATCCCCCCCCCCCCCCGCCCTTTCAAAGTAATCTTCATTAAAGTACTATGCCTTTTGATGTGTCTTAAATATTTCACTCATCTTTCTTTTCCAGATTTCTTCAGCAATTCGCTTTTCATCCACAGTTTCTTCAGCAATTTTGTATTTTGAATATTTTATTTCCCAGTCTTATTGCATGATCCCTGTCAGCAGTCAGCGGTACTTATTGTTTTGAATATGAGTAAGAGAGAGCGAGCCAGCGAGAGAGAGAGAGAGAGAGATAGATACAGGGAGAGAGAGAGAGAGAGAGAGAGAGAGAGAGAGAGAGAGTGAGGCAGAAAGTGAGGGTAAGAGAGAGCAAGAAAAAGAGTGTCAGACATAAAGAAAGTGAGAAAAGGAAGGAGAGACAGAGAGATTGAAAGAGAGATAGAGAGAGGGAGGGGGGTAGGCCAGGGTGATATGAGTGAAAGCGAGAAATATGTACGTTGTTTCTGTAAATAACATTTTTATTATTATTAAAAGCGAGTTTTAAACAATACGGATCATAGTGAATCTTTATGTTGAGACATGCAGAAACGTATATAAAATCAGAACAGGCAATTTAGATTGCAGTTGCACTCATATTGGCAATCATTAACAATATTGCCAAACTAGGTAAACTTGTCGAACTCTGCCAGACCGCTTTATACACGCTGGTTGTATTACGTTCCGAATACGTACACCAGAAAGCGATATTTACGGAATCGTTAAATTTTTCATTGCAGTGTGGTTTTAATTTGAACTTTTCTCCTACGGTAAAACTTCAGAATCAAATGAACACTAAGAAAAAGAGGAAAATAATATGGAAAAAAAAATAACGAGAAGAAGATTAGAAGAAGAAGATGAAGAAGAAGAAGAAGAAGAAGAAGAAGAAGAAGAAGAAGAAGAAGAAGAAGAAGAAGAAGAAGAAGAAGAAGAAGAAGAAGAAGAAGAAGAAGAAGAAGAAGAAGAAGAAGAAGAAGAAGAAGAAGAAGAAGAAGAAGAAAAAGAAGAAGAAGAAGGAGAAGAAGAAGAAGAAGGAATGAACTAACGAGGGTAAGAAGGTGGGAGAAATAAAAAAAAATAAAGAAAGAAAGAAAGACAGAAAGACAGACAGACAGAAAGAAAGAGAATAATCAATCATTCATGTATTGTCAACGACAACTAGATAGATGATAACTGGTCTTCAAGCCTGGTTGGTAATTTCATACTGTTGTCAGTAAATAAGACAGTCTTGGATTACTAACCAACAACAGCACGCCTAATTCCAGGTAGCGATTAGAGTCGAAGCGTCTTTGTTCCAGGGATTAGAGACAGGTGATTAATACGCTGGCCCTGAAATGAAATGTAATCTCATAGTTCAGTCTCACGAGTATTTTCAAGTGGCTGGAAACCAAATGATAATTTAGTATAGCACTTTTTGGCGGAATGCATTACTGGACTGCTTTTGCTTCTATAAAGATTGACAAGAGATTATTAATCTCGTCATCCCCTTATGGGATTCAATCTTTCGTTATTTTGAAGCTCCATCATGGCCTTTGCCGGGGGCCCTAAATATGCCGTGTCTAAATTATGACCTAAAGGCTCATCACCTGTCCGTGGGTGATCCTTATCCACATAGTGGCACTTTGTGTCACCGGGTGTTTATCGCTTGAATGATGTCCTGATGGGGTACAACTTACAAACATAAATATAGATTTCCAAGAGGATAAGACGGGGGTGGGGTGGGGGTGGCCGGGGGGGGGGGGGATATCTTATCTAAAGCGGTGGGAAAGCAGCAGTAGTTGTTGTAAAAGAGAAATAATGTCATATAGAAAATGATATAAAAGTAAATACAATTTATCTATATGAACATGATTCATAAAAATGTCTTTGTGACGAGTTAACCAGTCTCATGTTCAACGTGTTAGTTGTATCTTGTATGATAGAAAACAATGTTACTATTATTTTGGGTGCCCCTAAATTGTGGGGACGACATCTTGTACTAGATTCATCGAGAAACAGCAGATTAAGTGGTTTAGCCATTTCCTTAGAATGCAGCAAGAGCAAATACCATCACAAGCATCACATGTCGGACTGACTGACTGACTTTCTACCCCACCAGGACATCACACAAGCGATAAACACCCGATGACACAATGTGCCACCATGTGGATGAGGATCACCGTGGAGAGGTCCCAGAAACCGCGTTCAGCTTTTAGGCCATATTTATGGCCAGGCTTTTTTGCAGCTCCTGGCAAAAGCCAGAATAGGGCTTTAAAAAACGAAAAATGTCATCCTAAAAAGGGCGAGAAATATATGAATTCACTCGCCTCGTCTCGGAAGATCAGCTACAAGAGCCAAAAAAAAAAAAACGGTAGCGAAAAACAAGGATCAACAACATTTAAAAAAAAACATTCTACGCTTTCAGTGGTAGTGTCATATGTTGTCTATCCATATTATTTGATCCTCCTTCTGGATCTAGGTCAGGTTGCGCTTGTATGGTTGCCTCTAACTAGTCCCCAATGATAAAATACAATGACAATACTTGATGAAAGTCAATAAAACACAAATTAACAATAAGGAAGATAAGAGCTACGTCCCTTTACATTGATAAAAAGAAGACCAGTTCGCGTATGTCACAACCCGGCATTTGTTAGATGACATGAAATTGTCGAGCTGTTTGGTTGGTAATGAAAGCTCCATGTTGGGAAGTTAATCGATTGGCCTTTAAAGTTGTGTCATGTACCATGTCTGATTTGTCACGTACAAGTTATCTAGCGAGTGCCTTGAAGAAAAGCTGTCAGTTTAGTCAGCCAAATTTAGCTTTTTTTTTTTTTTATTTCAAAATACCCCCTAGGTAATTTAACAGTCCTTTAGTTCTGGCTAACAAAACGGGTGTCCAGCTGTTCTCGTGAACACGGGTAACCACACAGAACTGGTGTTTAATAAACCATCTGGCATAACAAAGTCTTAAGGAATACCCATTTTAGTCTAGCTGCCAAAGCCAATATACCTGTCAACAAAAGATTATAACAGGTAACTGACTCGAATGTCTTGGAACATCAGAAACATCACAACGGTACAATGTCCGTTAAGTCAGAGCGTTTAAGCTTAACGCACTCACAGTATAAAGCGAATGAGCCACACAACTGACCAGTGCAACAAAGGCAGATGATGAGAAAAATTATCAGTGACCAACTTGCTTTGACCAGTGTCCATCTTGCTTTGACCAGTGTCCAACTTGCTTTGACCAGTGACCAACTTGCTTTGACCAGTGACCATCTTGCTTTGACCAGTGACCAACTTGCTTTGACCAATGACCTACTTGCTTTGACCAGTGACCAACTTGCTTTGACCAGTGTCCAACTTGCTTTGACCAGTGACCAACTTGCTTTGACCAGTGACCATCTTGCTTTGACCAGTGACCAACTTGCTTTGACCAGTGACGAACTTGCTTTGACCAGTGACCATCTTGCTATGACCAGTGTCCAACTTGCTTTGACCAGTGACCAACTTGCTTTGACCAGTGACGAACTTGCTTTGACCAGTGACCAACTTGCTATGATCAGTGTCCAACTTGCTTCGACCAGTGACCAACGTGCTACGATCAGTGACCTACTTGCTATGACCAGTGACAGACTTAAGAAGTACCGTGAGCGCTTTAATATGTCTTAAAGGAGCAAGACATCAAGCGAAGACCCCAAGAGGACATTTATCTTAGGGACTTGAATAGTACCAATGCTAATTATTGTATTAAAGACAGTGACCAAACGGGGAAAAAAGACATCAAGGGATTTAATGTATTCTAAGACACTGAGAAACTAGACAAGTGTCACTTTTGAATTGACAAACACAACTGTTGCAGACGAGAACACAGATGATCATACAATTGCAACAAACAAAAAATACCATAATAACATACATGTGTTGTGGGAACATAATTTTAAATCAGGATGATTCATACAGTCTGTGTATAGTAAAGAAAAGCAACAGTTTGAAAAACCCAAGTTTGTTTACAATGAATTTAAATGGAATCAAAAAATACAGGGTACAGACAATAAAATTAGTGATAAAAAATCGAAGGGTACTGTGTACATAGACACGTTAATTTCATAGTAAGAACAAATTCGGCATCTGACTAGATCACTCTCTCTGTCTCTGTCTCTCTGTCTCTCTCTCTTTCTCTCTCTCTTTCTCTCTCTCTCTCTCTCTCTCTCTCTCTCTCTCTCGTGTGTGTGTGTGTGTGGGTGGGTGGGTGGGTGTGTGTGTGTGTGTGTGTGTGTTATGTTTGCATGTGTGGGTGTGTGGTATGCCTATATTGAATCTTTTTAAGTGTGAATGACTGTTCCCTTATATAAATGTACAACTCTAAAGTCGTCTCTATACATAAATGTACAGCTGCCTATCCACCACTATGTACAGGTAGCTTACCACCGCTAGATATGTCAGTTTTACTGAGGCCTAACAGAAATCCAACAAGAACACTGAATTAGAAGGGAATTATGTTACCTAATGATATTGCTTAGAAAACATCAGCAGTATGCTTGCTAAGAATACACCATATCTAATAGGTTGAGACCCTGTGAAGACATTATCGCTGGTCGGCAAAATACTTCTTGTTGCTGATGGCTGTTGAGTATTATCGCCTCCGAAATACTATTTTCAAATTGTTTAATGTCTCCTAATATCTAGGAAAACCACTGTTAAAAATAATTCGAGCAGACAGGAATGATGATGATAATGGACCCCGAGCTCTAGCTGATACTAACCCCTAAAATATATATACACAGTACTTACATACACACTTCCATGCTCCTGTTCTGTCTTTAGAAATATAAATTCAGGATTAGTTTCATATGTTTAAATTATTTCCTTTGTTTTTATGAATGTAAAGGAACGTAGCTTTAATCTTTATTATTAAATTGTTTGTTGTTATTATTATTTTTTCACCAAGTAGTGTCATTGTATTTTATCCTTGGTGACCTAGTAGGAGGCGACGCTACAAGCGCAATCTTGGTGGGTCACAAACAGATCCTGGACCGAGGAGAATGAGAAGGAGAAGGAGGGGGTTCCCTGTTCCTCAAATACTATGGATAGACGACATGTAACACCACTCGCGGCATGACAATAGCCATTGTCATCCAGTGTGCACTGGATTGTAAATTATTCCTCCCTATCTGGCTTAACGGAAGTAGTGGTTTATGATGATGATTATGACTACTAGGTGCCTAATAAGAAGATGGATTGATGACATTAAAGACATTCTATACCAATACGGAGTGACAATAGCCAACCAGCGCTACCCATCAAGCGTTGGACCACAAACTGTACCTTGACGACGATGGCGAAGACGATGATAACATTGTTAAGGACATTAGATGTAGAAGAGCTCACGCCTGTACATAATTTCCCATGATGGAGATGACTTTCTGCAGGTCTCAAGTAAGAGAATAAAGAGTAAAACGCTTTTCAATTTAACTTTAGTAGAGTTAATCCTCGTATATGGAGGTGAATTATATGCATTCCACAGATTTAGTGCGAGGGGAAAAACTAAATTTGCGGAGATGTGGTTTTGACAGCTTACTATATATACCAAAATATTGTGTTTGTAAAATAAAAATAAAAAATAAAAAAATTAAAAGAAGACTTACTTAATGACAATTACAGTCCTGTCACTGACGTCTTTTGTATGTATGTATGTATGTATGTATGTATGTATGTATGTATGTATGTATGTATGTATGTATGTATGTATGTATGTATGTATGTATGTATGTATGTATGTATGTATGTATGTATGTATGTATGTATGTATGTATGTATGTATGTATGTATGTATGTATGTATGTATGTATGTATGTATGTATGTATGTATGTATGTATGTATGTATGTATGTATGTATGTATGTATGTATGTATGTATGTATGTATGTATGTATGTATGTATGTATGTATGTATGTATGTATGTATGTATGTATGTATGTATGTATGTATGTATGTATGTATGTATGTATGTATGTATGTATGTATGTATGTATGTATGTATGTATGTATGTATGTATGTATGTATGTATGTATGTATGTATGTATGTATGTATGTATGTATGTATGTATGTATGTATGTATGTATGTATGTATGTATGTATGTGTGTGTGTGTGTGTGTGTGTGTGTGTGTGTGTATGTATGTATGTATGTAAGTGTGTGTGTGTGTGTGTGTAGAGCGAGAGAATGTGCTGAGGTATTGTGGCCATGTCAAGCTTTATGGTGGTGTAGAAAAAAACGGAAAACGAAGCAGAGGCTGACCATTGCGAACGTAGATACATGAAATTGAAGATGTATTGCATTTGAAGGCACACAGGGCTGGGGAAATGACTATAGAAAGCGATAATTTGAGGCCTGTCGTGAAGAGAGAGAGAGAGAGAGAGAGAGAGAGAGAGAGAGGAGAGAGAGAGAGAGAGAGAGGAGAGAGAGAGAGTGTGTGTGAGAGAGATGTTAAATTTTTAAAAACAGAACCTGCTGAATAATTATTATGATGTTTTCATAATTAATATGTAGACTCCAAACAAATCACATTGATTATTAATTGTATACGTGCTTATAAAACGGTCTCTGCATCACGAATAACACTATACTATTGTTTTCTTCTTTCAGGACCAGGCCCTAAATATCTTCTACCACCAACAGTTGGCATCCTCAATCATGATCCTACCATCACCAGGGCCCCTGGCTACTCATTTGGCTCAAGATATTCATGCAAGTCACTGATTGTATTGTGCTTAATGTTAAAGTCTGGACACTTTAAGCACTTTTGACTTTATAATAACAATTTATAGCCAAATCCAAGAGAACAATCTGCGACCCTCTTCTTCTTTTGTCGTCTTACTGATGCCAGGTTATAGCCTAGTGCTGTGTTTTTGTCATCTCAATGACACAAGGTTGTAGCACAGTGTCTTCGTTTTCTGTATTTGTCTTGCGCTTCTCAGGTGGCTTGGATGAGGGATGTGTTAATCTTTTTTGCAGGTTTCTGCTACAGCAGAAACATCCTTTCAGATGTTATGCTGCAAAAAATATCATCGTGGGGAGGTATAGGTTTCGAAACATTGACGCATTGTGAGGAGGAATAGATTTTGATCCACTGTTTAAGCATTGTGGGGTGAAGTAGTTGTCGATCCATGAAAGCGTTGTGGGGATAAATAGTTTTTGATCCTATGTTCACATTACCTGTGACTCGCCTTGTGGGTTCAGGGCCACATGTTTGGTGAAGAAAAAAAAAGTAATAGATGCACTGCCACCTAAAAAGCATGTCGTGTACGATAGTACTTGATATATTTGTTATGGATATGCTGACTATGCGTTGTACGTCAGGAAACGACTTTATAGCCCTCAGTACATTCCCACAATCGCCGCGTCTATATTAACAGCTCCCTGTGTGGGTTCTGGAGCCCTATTATAGGGAAAACAAGAATAGACCCACTGCCTACGCAAAAGCATGTCGTAAGAGTCGACGAATTGGGTGCTGCTTTCGAAGTCGGAGTGCATCTGCCTGAGAGGCAAGGAATCAGCAGTCTGCATACAAATGAGTGAGATTTGTTAAAGGGATGCACATAGAACACTCAGGTTCTGGAACAGTACTGCAGTCCAAAAGTGGACGAACAAATAGAACTTTCCGCCAGAGTTTGCAGCTGGTGAACACGAAGAAGAAGAAGATATTATCAGCAGCAAACGCACAATTCCAATTCAGACGGTACATGTAACAGTGTGATTCTATGTCTGCCCTGTCCCTCCACTGTGTGTTGATCGTCGACACGAGACTCTGACCACAATCCTCGCTGTATTATTCTCTTGAGACCGCGACGATCTATTGGTGTCTCCCTACTGTTGACTGCCACCCAAAGGGCTCTGCATAATCTAGCTAATTATAGCTTCTCATGAAGTTGAACAGAATATCCGCGATTAGCCTTGTTGGACTGACATTCAGAATGTAGCACATCTTGTCGATGAGGTGTCAGATTTCAGGCAGTAATTATTAAGGGCAAGAACAGTAATTCAGTGTTTTAGATGGCGTTTCTAGCTGTTAGTTGGTTCTCAAAGCATCAGGAATTGGGGAGAGGGGGGGGGGGGAGGGCCTTGAATGTAATTTAAGCCTGAGTGCAACTAATTCTCCTTTCTCTTTTCTTCCGATCATATACTAAAATTTGTCTCTATGGTAATTGTATAGCAGAACACTCTGTTCTTCTCCAAGTTAAGGAATAACAGACAGAGCGCGCAAAGTGGGCACTGGAAATGTACACACGAGTACAGGCATATTAGGATTAACATTGTCAGAATTCAACACAGAACATACACACTGGATATAAAACATGCCAACCATAGAAAGGTGACTTGCAGTAAGACGCAGAGTGTTAAATGTTCTATAGAAACTGTACTGTTATGTGCTCGTAAAAACGGACAGTAAGCAGAGAAGCTGACAAACATGTATGGGCAATAGAAATGTGGTGTATGAATAATCAATGCAAAGAATATCAACAGCTGACAAACAAAATATGAGACAGTCCCCCTTATGTGAATTACGAATATGTCTGACTATGCCTTTAAGATTGGCATCTGATGATGATGGTGTTGATGGTGATGATGATAATGATGATGGTAGTGATGGTAGTGATAATGACGATATCGATGCATTCATGTTCAAATTAATAAACGAACGATTCAAAACGTAACAAGTCCTGATTTCAACAAGAGTTGTTGATAACTTTCTTTTCAGATTCATATTCTCATGGACCTGGTCCTTACTACGTAGACAGTGGACTAACGAACACGGGCAAAGAAAACAGAAGCGGATTTACGCTACATGGACGACCGAAGCGATCTATTTGGGGTAATGCTAGTGTCATACATTATTCATAGTTGTTCATAGTTTACAAAACTATATTGCTATTAAGACAACCAAACATAAACATGAGCGACAAGAAACATAAACAAACATATTCATGCCAACACTGTGCTACCAGTGCCAGACTTGGACATTATCAAAGGCTAACCTGTGTAAAATTAACACCTGTGAGTAGTGTATCAGCGTGATACAGGTATTATTTGAGAAATCGATCTCTCTTTATCCTTAGTAAAAGATGGCGGCCAAAAGTGATTGGTCTGTTCGTGTAGCTTTATATATCCTTAGTAAATATCGATCGGGACAGCCACCCTATTTGTCCTTAGTAAATATCGATCGTGTGGCTGAGGACAGCACGCGTGCTTGGTTTTAGGGAAAGGTATAGGAAATCGATACTTTGTAGGCATTATTATCTTCATAACTGCAGGTGACAGGTGGCGTTATATAAAACGGGGGCAGGCAGGAACACTATTTAGGTGAGCAGCGGGGGCAGGGGACCCGGGGCGACTAGGAAGGCGGCATGATGACCGGGGATGTATTAGAAAGGGCAGATTGGGCGCCGGCATCATCATCTATGTCATGGTAGCGAAGGTCGACCGCTCATGGATGGTTTGAGCTGTAGTAAAAAAGGACGACAGAATGCTGGGTGTCTGGTAATACTGTGGAGGGTCGAAGAGAAGGGGCATAATTGGCAGACTATCTGACTTTGTAAATAAGTGGGCGAAGGTTCTGATTGGTCAGTAGGCTTCAGTGGTTATTCTGCTGGAACAGTCGATTTAGGAAAAACTCGGCAGTTGGTGTCGCTCAACGGGGTACGCCCGCCCGTACGTCACGCACACACACACGCACGCCCGCGGGGGTCGTTTTAGGGGATAGATACAGAAACCTAGGAAAGTGGTTTGATGGTAGGGAGAAAGTGGGGCTGGGGCGCCATCATCATCATCATCCGCGTCGTCGTAAACTGTCCTTTTTCTTAGTAACGGTAAGCAGTTTAAGAATAGTTTTCAAATCGATAAAAGTAGCTGTTTGGAAACAGACACTATCATTATAAGTTATGGACCCGCGGTGGAGGCATCCCTTTACCTCTCTGATAGCCGGACCTACCGGTAGCGGTAAAACTGTATTTGTGCAGAAGTTTTTAAAACATTTGAACGCTATGGTCGACCCGGTGCCGGAGGAGATTATTTGGTGCTACGGGGAATGGCAACCTCTGTATGACAACATGGAGGGCGTCATCTTTAACGAAGGTCTTCCGGATATGGAACAATGGCAGGGAGATAGACGACGTCTAGTGGTCATAGACGATTTGATGTCTGAGACGGACGACAGAATCACTAAACTATTTACTAAAGGCAGTCATCATCGCAACATCAGCGTGATTTATATTGTACAAAATCTTTTTGGAAAAAATAAAGAACAAAGAACCATCAGTTTGAACGCGCATTACCTGGTAGTTTTTAAAAAACCCTCGTGACGGTTCACAGATCACCAACTTGGCCAAACAGATCTATCCCGGCCGCGTTTCCTACGTCCAAGAAAGCTTTAAAGACGCGACGGCTAACCCCCACGGTTATTTGCTGTTCGACCTCCGACAAGACACCCCAGACCACCTCAGACTACGCAGCGAAATATTCCCCGACGAGAAACGAGTAGTGTACGTACCTAAATAATGTCTGACAAGCTAAAGCGACACGGCGAGATGCTGCGTTTTTTGTGCGAGGCGAAAGCCCACACAGCCAAAGACATCATAAAAACCGCCTCACCGGAGCTCGTACAGACACTTTGTGAATGTTGTCACAACGTATTAAAAGGTAATGTCGCCCTGACATCCGATCAGAAGAGACGTTTGTGTCGTTACAAAATCAACCTCAGAGCGCTCACCAAAAAGAAACTTTCAATCAAAAAGCGAAAAGAGATTTTACAACACGGTGGGTTTCTCGGGGCGTTATTAGCGCCAATACTAAGTGTGGTAAAAGGTATCTTGGGTTTCTAACCATGGCCAAGAAAATGATATTGATCGACCCGCGTATGATGGACTCTGTGTTTCAAAAAACATATGTACCACCCGATACAGTCAATGATAGCCTACGTGATTTGGATACTCATATGCAACATGTCCTGGAAAATGAAGAGCTGTCGCCTCGTGACAAAGCCCGACTATATCAACAGACATTACAACGTTACTTGACTCGTCTGGATCATTACCGACACAAGTCATTGGGCGTAGTGGATATTAAAACGCCCACAGAAACCCTACCGTCGCCGCCACTACCAGTAACACTAAAAACAGAAGACAACGAGATTGTAGCTCATTCATCGCCGCCTAAAAATTGTCAAGAAGACAGCTGACTCTGAGACACCACCGGTCTCGTCGTATAAACTGAGACAAAGAAACAAAAAGTCTAAAATACCTACACCAAAGTGGGAACAATGGCCACGCAACTGAAAAAACTTTACTTTGATCCGAAACAACCGGGAGCCTATAGTGGGGCTGTGGCCTTAAGACGACACGCAAAAGTGCCAACTAAACAGATCAAAGATTGGCTCAGTCATGAAGATACATATACCTTACATAAACCTATACGGCGCCATTTTAAGAGACGTCCGATTATAACCGGTGGACTCAACCAACAATTCCAAGCTGATCTGATAGATATGAGATCTTTACGAAAAGACAACGACGGTATGGCGTACTTGGTTACTTGTATAGACGTGTTCAGTAAATATGCTTGGGCCATTCCCATAAAAAACAAAACTGGAAAAGCTTTAGTGGAGGCGTTCAGTAAAATATTTACCGAGCGGCGGCCAATGAAACTGCAAAGTGACAAAGGGTCCGAGTTCCTTAATCGGACGTTCTTAAAGTTTCTGAAAGACGAGGGCGTGCATTTTTTCACGACAGAAAATGAAGATGTTAAAGCGGCGGTGGTGGAAAGATTTAACCGCACCTTGAAAGAAAAAATGTGGCGTTATTTCACCAAAACCAACAAGCACCGTTATATCGATGTGTTGGATTTCTTTTTGCGAAATTACAACCATTCCTATCACCGCAGCATTCGTATGGCCCCCGTGGACGTTAACCGGCGTAACCAAGAGCAAGTATGGCAGACACTGTATTCGGATGTCGACAGCCCCGGCATACCTGTGTTTAAAGAAGGTGATCGTGTGAGACTCGCGCAGGCCGGGCAGACATTCAAGAAAGGTTATATGGCTTCCTGGACCGAAGAGCTGTTTTACCGTCAGCCGCGTCAACAGAACCAGCCCGGTAACTTATGTGCTAAAAGACGATTCGGGTGAGGAACTCCGCGGGTCGTTTTATAAGGAAGAAATACAGAAAGTTGGCGACAAAGAAATGTATCGGGTGGAAAAGATTTTACAAGAACGACGAGGTGCCCGTGGTGGTAAAGAATATTTAGTCAAGTGGTTTGGTTATCCGACCCCATTCAACAGCTGGATAGCAGACCAACAACTAGAGAGGTACGAAAATTAGTGTTATGGAAGCCGTTGATGAAGTGGATGAAATTACCGTCTTTGCAACAGAAACAGAAGCTGACGGTAAACGACCTTGGTTCAGTAAACTACGGCCGCGACCTGAGGTTGTTTTCATCTCTCAGATGGTGATTATATACATCGTCATCAGTGTATCACTATTCAATCTGACGTACGGCTCGGCGAGTGAGGCAGAGGGAAAATTGTGGATCGTGCTCTTGTCTAGTTGTTTGGGTTACCTATTACCGAATCCGAAAATAGAGACGGTCTTAAAGCAACCATGAGTTTTTACGTGACGCTACCCAGCAACGCCTCGCCAAAAATATTTCCCGACAATAAACCGGGTCACTTTTTCGTCAAACTACCACAGACCATCGAATTGAGTTCACAGTATGAAATCGGCCTGGCAGAGATTCAATTTCCCAGCAGTTATTTTAATATCCTGGAAGATGACATCTGGATCGAATACACCCCACCCAAGGACAGCAAAAAGGTAACTCAGAAAATTACATTACCGGCTGGTGTCTACAAGACAGGTGAAGATTTTATCGATGCTTTGAATCTACTGCTTTTAGAAAACGAGGAGGGTGGTGATGCGATATTGCGAATCCATTATAACAAGTACACGAAAATGGTCGTCCTGAAACTTTACGAGAAAGGCGCTCAGATTGTTATATGCGAACTCTTGAGATCTATTTTAGGCCTCACCAACCTGTGTCTGACCAACACTGACATACCACTAGTCGGTGATTATGAGGTAGATATCGATAGCGACATGAGTAATGTCTACGTCTACTGTGATCTCGTCGCGGCGAGACCTGTGGGTGATGTCATGGTTCCCTTATTGCGTACCGTCCCTATTATGGACAGAGTTTCATCTTCTGTGTTTTCGCATCTATGACAAACCACACTACGTTCCTATGAGTCGTTTTTCTTTTGACACGGTGGAAATACTTTTAACCACCGACACGGGAAAAACTATACCATTCAAGACTGGATCTTCCGTGGTGACGTTACATTTTAGAACTCGGAGACATTTCAATCTAGAATAATGGTGAGACACGTGCCCTTACTTCGAAGTCCTGAAATGTACGAAGACTTTTACTGTCAACAAGCAGGACATGGCTTACCGGTATTTATCGGCGGAAGAAGTCAACGTGGACGAGGTCTGGGTAGTTTCTTCAGCGGTTTAGGTCGCATGGTTCTTCCTTGGTTAAAGACAGGCGGTAAAGCCCTGTTAAGAGAAGGTGTCGGTACGGGTTTGCAAGTTGCCCAAGATGCTTTAGCCGGTCGGAATGTCGGAGAGGCGTTTAGAGAACATGCCAAGGAAGCGGGGAAGAGGTTACTTCAAGGAGCTGTTGATCACGTGGCTGGTAACCAATCAGGAAGTGGGATTCGTCGACGCCGCGCAGCGCCACCTGGTGAGCCTCTGAGTAAAAGGTTTAAAGCATCACCCCGATCTCGTCCTTCTCACAAACATCAGCTGCCTCAGAGGAAGAAGA